CCCCCCCCCCCGCCTTTTCCCCACCCGGTTGCTTACTACAGTTTTTTACCAAAACTGTGGTCAAAATGCAGGTATCGTATGCAAGGGACTCCTGAGGATTTCGACATTTACACAGATGATGGTGTGTTTGAAGATCCGTTGACACGTGCTGTGGGGTACGCTACTGCATGGCCTTTCCTTAGCCTTTCCTTCCTTCCGCATCACAGAGCAGAGCAGAGCAGAGCAGAGCAGGGAAGTGAGGGGACATACTGGGGGGGGTGGGCGAGAGTGGCAGGAGGTGCTGCTGCTGGGACTGCTGCTCAGATTCTTCGCTTCGCAAACCTCGAATTTCTGCTGTGGCAGCAGTGCGATCTCCTGGAAGGAGGTCCACCTTCTGGCGCTGCTGCCCAGATTCTTTGTTTCCCACCCTCGAAGACCAGATTCTTCGTTTCCCAGTGCGAGCAGTGGGACCTCCTGGCACAATCAGATGTGATCGAATGGCCAGGACTCAAAAAGTGAATTGTGCAGATCAGATTGAACGGCCGGCCCATCTGAAAAGTCACGGTCCCGGTCTTGGTCTTTGCACTATTGAAAAGTCTGGTCCACCCTCAGACGTACTTGGGCCTGAAGTTGCTGTTTCATCTGTTTGTCGCTCCACCGGCCCCGGGGGCAAATGGCCCAAGGGGCCAGGGCAGTACTTGGGCCACAAACGGTGCACGGTACTTGGGCCACAAACGGTGCACGGGCAGTACTTGGTACTTGGGGCACACGGCCGAAGGGCGGTACTTGTGTATGAAATATAAAAAACGCCCTTCGAAGTCAACTTCGAAGGGACTGGTGATTTAAGCCGCCGGAACTTCCGAGGCATGTTTTCTCTGGGGCTGGAACCCCCCCCCTGCGCGTCAAGAAAAAAGCGAAAACGGTGCGGGCCCCCTCTTTTTTTTTCTTTTTTTTTGGGGGGGGGGGGGGGGGGGGGGGTGGACAATGCTCCAATCTATTTGTGGGGAGCCGCACGTGCTGGGAACCGGGCCCAGCGTCTCATTTGTTGGTGGCCATTTTGCTCCGGAGGCTGAGTCTCGAAAGAAAGTTGCGCTGGCATGCAAGCTGCAACTTGAAAAGAAAATGGCTTGGAAATGTACTGGTGCAAAATGTACTGGTGGGGCGTCGCACCCTGTTGCCTGTTGCTGTTGCTTCGTCCACCTAGAAACTGATAAGTGAGGCCTTGCACTTCGATGTTCACGGAGGCCTCACACTTTGGTGATGACGATTCTCCCATGGGGGTTAAGTGGGGGGTGGGGAAGGGGTTAGGACCCGGATGATGGTTGGGCTATTTGTCAAAAAAAAGGGTCAGTGTTCAAGCAGACCCTCAAAATTCTCAAATGGTTTGCTGCTCAAATGCGGAGAGGGGGCTAGGACCCAGATGAGGCCTTTGAGGGGTTTTGAGGGTCTGATGGTCGAACGGGGTTCACTTTTGATGACATGCGCGATCTGGCTGAACAACCATCTGGGCATTTTCTTGTGTCTGGATGATCCTGCCGGAATAGGAATATTTCTTCTCCTGGTCAAGTCGTAAGCTGAAATCCTGTTCTTTAAATTAGTGATCAGAATTGCGTATTCTGATCACTAATTAGTAATTACTAATTAGTAATTACGTATTCTACTATTCATTGAAAATGCATGCTTCCTATGTGGATAGCAGTGAAGTTTGAACATCTTTTTTTTTTTTTTTTTTTGTGGGGKGGGGGAACTGGGGTTGTTGTATCTGATAGGGACGTTTTGTGTTCTGTTATCAACGTATGATATGTTATAGTAGGGAGTCGGGACGCGTCCATGTTAACTTCTTCGAATTAGTTCTTTAATATCAAAGTAATGATGTACTTAAAGACTTGAAGTAGTAGTAAAAGTACTTATGTGAGGATTGAGCCCTCAAGAAGGGGCCTTGCCATGATGTACATGTTCTGGGCTAAGGCCCCAGCAAGCCTAGTGCCCGCCCTAAGTGAAGGCGGGCCAGCAAATCAACAAGCGCCCTCTGTACAAACATTTCACGAAGTGGGGTTCATACAGTTGCAGCACGCCAGTTGGTTGGAGTGCACCGAGTCTCGAATCTCTGCAAATGTGGAGATCCCAGGGCCTCTGAGTTAGTTAGGCCCTGGGCACTTGAACGTGAGGCCGACAATGCATGCTGGGTATAGAGGCCGAAAATGCCAAAGGGAAATCGGCCCACTATCTGAATCTGGCCGCAGGCCTTGACGAAAGAGGCGCAACTGCATCACCTGGGCCCCAACTGCATCGGGCCTGGGTTCAGGCACTGGGGCCCAGTCGCAGGCTGAAGGGAGGCCGCCCACACGCAACACTGGCATATAGGCAAGGAGGGCGAGTGGGCACGGATCTTGGCCAACGCGGGCATTGCCGGCACGCTGCGCAGCTGCTGCGCTGCGCTAAGATGAGGTGCAAGGCAGGCAGGCGCTAGGCGGTAGGGCGCTGCCGGTGCACAGGGCGCTGGCGGCCATAGCCGGGCTGCCTGAGGGCGCAGGGGAGGTGAGGGCGAAGGTGGTTCTTCGGAGGTGAAGGGATAACAAGGGAGAGTGTGGGTGAAGGAGGAGACGTACCTGGTGGAGGTGGAGGTCGGCATTGGTGTTGACATCATCACTCGCTGGTGGTCAAGTTGTCTGGTTGCTTCATAGCTGTAGTTGTAGAGATAGGCTGTAGAGTAGGTAGGGCGCCTGGCGCCATTCAAGAGAGAGCTACATTGAGTTATGCTGTTGGTGTTGCCCTGTTGGGCTTGGACATTGAATCACGATTCTTCTGTATCATTCTCAAATCGGTGGTTACTCGGTTCCATTGTGCTATCTACTCTTGCTTTGACTACTTGGACTTCAGTGTGATTTTGCAATCTGGATTTCTGTGCTTCGTCCATATTCATGTTCCTTGCACTTAACAATAATATTCATTTAATAATTATTTATTTATTTAACAGAGTAGTAAAATAATATATAAATATTTACTAATATTATAATATACGTTTTCTTTACGTTTTCTGCCTTCTGCTTCTACAGACGAGAAGAGATCAAGTCTGCATTCTTTTCGTTGCCCAAGGTAAGACCTGTGCAATTGTTTCGTCTCTGGTTGGCTTTAGCCGCGCGATGTCTTTTCTTAACTTTCTGTTTTGGGGAAAAAAATATATTAAAAAAAAGAGAGAGAAGGGCAAGGTAAAGGGCCAGCCAGAGTATCGGCGCTAGTTATAATCTACTTCTTGTGTTCTTTGCTGCGACTTCTGTCTTCACCCTGAGTTCAACGCTCAGTCAACTATAGCTGTATGTATTTGGGCGACTTTCAGCCTATATACAACCATAATAATTGAGCGTTCTAATCTCCCTACACCCTCTTCCCCCTCGCCCCCACCCCAACAAAAAAAAAAAAAAAAAAAAAAAAAAAGCATTACCGAGCTGACCGACCCTAGGTAATTTACTAATTACCCAAGTGGTTTAAAAAAATAAAAATAGTTAACCATCTTAGTCAGGGGGGGGTATTACTTAGTGGAGTTCGAACACGGGTCTGTATTACTATTTCAATAGTGCAGCTCAGGTGTGTATTACCACTTCGTTGTATCTGTGTGGGTAGTCTTTTCTTTTTTTCTTTTTTTCTTTTTTTTTTAATCATTGTGAGCATTTGCATGACGACGGTCATGATGATGATGAGGAGGAGGAGGAGGACGTCCAGGAGGTGTTGTTTTCAACTTTTTCATGCCTTTTTTTCTTCTTTTTTTTTTTTTGTTGTAGTGAAATCATGTTTGCATGCTGATCGGCCATTCCTGGACAAACTGGGATTATGGTTCTGGACTAGACATGCGGGGCGATGATAATGAAAGCAAAGAATGGAATGAACCTGGTCCATATAGTGAAGCACAGGAATTTAGGGGCACACTTGCATTAGGACAGAAGAATAAACATTGCTTCCATTGTTGGTACACAGGACTTCTGGCTTGAGTATTGCCCTAAAGCATACGAAGGGGGACTGAGAAGTGTTGTGCCTGTTGTGTGGCATGTGTGCTTGATTGCCACCATATGTATATAGCTTTTCAGCGAGTCAACGACTGTGAAAGCCAAGGCCCGTGAGGAAGAGGCAGCACCCGGAGTAGTAGAGGTGCGAAATTCTCCATCGAGTGCATTTATCCCCCCCCCACTGTCTCCCTTCCACCTCTCTGGGCATTCTCTTCTCCGCTCTTCTACCTACGGCATCCACACATATTCTGTGGAAGGGGCGTTGCTCTCATCACAACCCCCCTCGTCTCTGTCATTTCAACTGCCCCCC